GGATCGGCCCAAGCATCAATCACATGCCAGCCTCCATTAATATGAATTGAATTAGTACTGACCGAATATATGCGTATTCCTACATGGGAGGCACTAGTGAAAAATCACTCGAATGATAATGTAACTCGGCTGTCGCTCCACTTTTCGAGCGAAATGTCATTCCAAGAAATCTCCGGAATAAGAAGTAACATTCCAATGAATGTCATACTAAATGTCATATTAAAAACATCATTGGAGTATTCATTATTTATAAGTTTCAATTCCGAGCGAAATATTACGGTTACATGTACGGTGTGTTAAGGAGGCACTAAGATTTAACCGTCTCAGATAGAGTGGTTTCTGATTTATGTAGGGTTCAGGGACGTCGGGGAGCAACAGTCTTAAAAAATTGATCGGCCCCGCTCGGCAGACGGCGGTAAACAGTCTGGCCCGACTGATTTCTTTTTAAGTACGTCGTCGGGCCGCGCGAAACTTCCGACGCGAGACTCTCCGGGTCGCGTCTTCCGTCTGTCTGCATTCCGCAGTCGTCGTCGCGACGAACACTTTACGATCACTCTACTTAAGTAACGCGATCTCGTTACCTCAACGTGCGGTTCGCGCGAAACTACACACGGGGGCAGTCTTTAAATTAGGGTAGCTGCGTTCTTCGCCGAGGTCGGGCCCGCCGGAGGTTTGCACAGTTCGCAAACTGCGCGCACACAATTTGCACGAAGACGCAGGTCCACGCGGAAATTCAAGTTTCGCGAGGACGACGGTGGACGGTATCCTTGAGGAGAAGGAAGACAGTAAGATGGGGAGAAAAAGGGAGAGAGAAGGAGTGTGTGTGTGTGTGTGAGAGAGAGAAAGAACGAAAGCGAGTTCACGGTGAATGTCTCGCGGTACGTTTGCATAACTGCTTCCCCTTTGAATTAGCAGGGTGGCCCCGCTCGGCCCGGTTCGCGACCCCGACGACAAAGTGCTTTGTCGTGAACGCAGCGTAGCTCGTCCTCCAAGTTCGCTGAACGCATTAAGAAATATCGCCCGGAGTCGGGGAAATATTTCTTTGCCCGAAAGTTTCGCGGTTTGTGAGTAATTACGCGAGCAAACCACCCCCTTTCTCCGAGAGGGAGGTTGGAGGGGGGAGCTTGTGTCTGCTCGTCGTTCTGTCGCTTGCTCTCGCCACTCACCCTTCTTCCCTCTCCCCCCTACCTTCCTTCTCTCGTTTTTTCCTCCTCGTCTTGCGCTCCTTTTTAGATAGTACAGCGAAATTCAGCGGTAAAACGGGAGAGGTGGGGTCCGGTTGTTAAGATAATGCTCTCGCCGGCGCCGACCGGGGGAGGCCGGGGAATAAAAATATAACGGCTTCTGTAAAACCGGAGCGGGACGCGCGTGACGTTACGATCCCGCCGGAAGCGATCTCCGAGTCACGCCTGCGATTCATCGCGAGGGAAACTACCCTGGCTCCCTCGTGTTCGACGCGAACGCTCGACGAACGTCGTCGGCTCGACAGCTCGGAATCATTTCGCTTCCAATGTTCGCTCGCGGCCACGGAGAGGCGGCGTCGCTCTCGCCGATTCCGATCGCACGATTTGCATTCCGATCGCTTCCACCAGCACGGTTTACCTTCCCCGGTCGTTCATAATTAATGAGCGCATTCGAATTTTTCATCATTCCGTCCGGCGTTATTCGTCGTCCGGCGAAATTTCGGAATGAAATTACCGTATTCTACGTTATATTCGCGGGGGCGATCGTTCGCGCAAAGAACCGCCGTCCCGGTTTATAAGCATTAATGAGATTAATTTGTATGAACGCGTGGTATCCGGATATGAAGATCGTAAACACGCACACAAGAGAGCGAGGGAGGCAGGAAGAGAGAGAGAGAGAGAGAACTGGCTTCAACGGCTGTTTCTCCCGGCGGAATGGCGTGCGAGAGACGCAGCAAAACGATGCTGCGACAGGATGATTTCCTTTCTCCGACTTTATGCGACGCCGGTTCGCGATTCTGCCGTTTTCATCGGGCGAACGAGAGAGCTCTCTCAACGAGAGCTCTCTCGCGTAAATGCGCGCGCGCGCGTAAATGTTTAACAAGGAAACGCGTTTGCGGTAACCGTTAGTCGGCTACTGAACATTCCGCTCTTCTTGTTGCCGCTAATTAACTAAATTATGAGGTCGGCTAATAACTATAACGCAACTAATTTATGATATTAGCTAATAGCGAATGCGGCGAATCGTACAAACCGCGCCGATGCAGCGGTCAATTGTAACTAATAAGTCCCCCCCCC